GTGATGGAAGTAGAGTTATTATATGTTAGTCATTAATTTCACTTGATTTTATGCTGGAAGTAAAATTTGACCAATTATCTAATGGAGTTATTTGCATAATTTTTTTGCCCTTTAGTAAATGCAGATATCTGTTTTGTTAGTATTTTTTTTTTGTTCAGGCCAGTCACGGGTATGATTCAATAGTCCTCATTCAGACAATAGCTTTGTTGGTGTGTTTCCAGGAAATCCATGGGACTACCAGTCCCGTGGATTTTGTTTCTGCAAAATCCACGAGACTAGTAGTCCCGTTTGCTGTGCCTGCACGTTTTTGTGCACGCCCAGCAAATAAACGGAACTACTAGTCTCGTGGATTTTGTTTCTACAAAATTCACGGGACTAGCAGTCTCATGAACTCTCAAGTTTGGCTTCACTTAACATTGGTATGCTTATTTTGTAGTGATAATTTTCATAAAAGTCCCTCAACCTCACAGATGTTGATATTAGTCAGTCAATTAATAAATACTTGTAGTTATTTTCTCAAATCCTTTAAAATTTTGAAAATTACTCCATCAAGCTTAATATTAGTCTATCAAATCTTTACAGGTTTGGAACTACCCTTAAATGTCCATAATTAGTTGCAAATTACCCCCTTAAATTTAAAACTAGTCTCCTAAACCTTTAATCACTTTCAATTTCCTCCCTCAAATGTTCATTTTTTGAATTTAGTCTCTCAAATGGGATCATAAAAACTTAAAATTAGTCTCCTGAATAGTTAAAATTTTGAATTACTCCCTTAAATGTTCATAACTAGTCCCTCAAATCTTTATAAATTTGCAAATTACCTCCTTATATTTAAAATTAGTCCCTCAATTCGCTAAACATTTTAAAATTCCTCCCTCAAGTGGTCATATTTGGGAACTAGTCCCTCAAATGGTGGATAGTCACACCCCACTTATGTTTGGCAATAATTTTATCCTATTTGGGTGGTAAGCACATCATGATGACCATAACCATGGTTTCTTTTATTTTTTAGTTTGAACCAAACACTGAAAAAATGAGGGAATCAATTTACACATCAACTACTTTCTTGTCTTTTCAAATTGAACCAAACTAATAAAAGTGGTGGAAAGTAATTATGCCCCATGTTTTTTGTCAAAACAAACACAAGAAACAATCTTTCAAGAATGTGAGGAAAACACCAAAAAGTGAAGGAAATATAGTATTTGGAAAATGAAGGAAAGCAACCAAACAACCCCTTAGAGGAAAAGTAATTTTCTATCTGAGTTTTTTTGGCGCGCATTTGTTGATATTTCCTCTCCCCCCAAATCGAAGCCCTAGTTCTCTAAATTCGAACCCGAAGGCCTCTTCTTGGATCAAGTAAGTCTCTTGATCTTCTCCTTTCACTCTCAAATTGTTGCCGATTATGTGACATTTCAAAATTTATAGCCTAGGGTTTCGTTTCACTTCATCGTGCTTAGATTTTTCGATCAAATTTCTCAAGGAATGATTGAGCAGCTTAATTTCTGCATTTCTGCTGCCTATATCTTATTAAATCAAGGATCCGTTTTTTCGATTTGATAAAGTAAAAATAAAACCTTTGATCTCGATCTCTTTCAGAAGTTATGGCTTAGGGTTTTGTTTAACGTTACCGTGCTCGGTTTTTTGGAATATTTTTCTCAAGGAATGATCTGATGAAGTTATCTTGAGTACTTGTATCTTGATACGAGTTAAAGATCGGTTCTTTTGATCTCATTAAGAAAAGAAAAAACCTTTTGATTTCAGTTTGTCTTTCAATTTGATAGATTAGCGTTTCATTAGCTTAGGAATTAGATTGTGTCTTTGAAGGGGAAAAAATACACACACACACATGAGAAAATAGATGAGATATCAGATTGATACGTCAGCCCTTCTACTACAAACAAAAATGGTTGTTACAGGTTAAGGCCATACTCCCAACTCCAAAAGTATGGCTAAATCCATCTAGACATATTACATAAGTAGTCACACACCCAACTAAAAACAAAGAGATCAACAAGTTTCAACCAAACTGTTAACCTATATTTACAATCAAAAGAAATTGTTGTCTCCATATAGTATCCTATCATTTAGATATTGTGATGATCCCTCCGTCATTCCTTGCCACCAAGGATCCATCAAGCGCCATTCTTGATCTCTGCATCCCCTTTCTCCTTCGACACTCCTGCACCCACTGAGCTGTATCTGAAATTCCTGAATGCCCTAACCAAAAATCAGCAAAGTAAATAATTTTGTTAAGTAAATCAAATGACCTTTTCTTTTTATCAGAAAACAAACGCTCATTCCTTTCTTGCCAAATGCTCCAAACAAAAGCACATGTATACACATCTCTTTTCATTTTATTCTCTTTCCCCACATTTACTCCCTAGCTGAGCCAAGTTTACTTAATAGAATCAAGATTGAAATCATCCTGAATTTTTAGCCTGTGCTGAAAAGACCTCCATATAGAACTAATAATCTGTAATGCGCGAAAATATGTGTTTGAGTTTCTTCTTCTTTTTCACATAATCTGCACATGGTTTCAACTTGAATTCCTTTTCTTCTCAAGTATTTAATTTGGATTTAAAAGCCAACCAACAAGTAATTTTTACTTTGAGAGGAACACTCCAAATGTTTTCACAATCAAATCTCAAACCCCCATCAACAAGAAATTGATAATAAGATCTGACAGTAAAAATACTAGATTTTTCCAAAAAGCCATTTTCTATGATCTTTGTCATGAGGCCATTGAACTGAATTAATCAAAGAAATTATCTCAAAAAATTGAGTAACTAGATCACCAATTAATTGTCTCACAAAAGACATTCCATTCCCAGCTATCATTTCTCCATCTTCTCACAGAGAAGATAGTAGCACAAGGTTCCTCTGCCATACTGAACAGAGTAGGGTAGAGAAGATAGAGTGGCAGGACCTGTCCATTTGTTTAACCAGAAAAGAGTGATAACCATTGCCAAGCTCCACTCTAGTACAATTTAGAAAACTATCAGCACTAGAAAACATACTCTTCCAGAAATAAGAAAGAGAATATCTGTCAACCTCTTGATATTCAAAAAATTGACTATTGAGCTAGTATTTGTGATAAACAATGCTTTTCCAAAGAACAGAATGGCCATCTACCCATTTCCAGAGCCATTTAACCAACAAAGCTCTATTCATGATTTTAAATCTATCACTCCCAAACCACCATTAGACTTAGGTTTACATAACTCTCCCCAATTCAGCAAGTTAGAAGCTCCTTTATGATCCATAGATCCAATCCAAAAGAAACTCCTTCTCATCATATCTAATTTATCACAAACCCTATTATGGAAATAAAAGAGGCCATCCAAAAGATAGGCATAGAGGACAAGACTGAATTAACTAAAATCAGTCTCTCTCCTCTAGATAATGATATATTCTTTTCCACATGGCTAATCTCCTTTCAAATTTCTCAAATAATGGAAACCAATTATCCCTTAAAAGCTTAGCAGGTCTAATGGGTACACCTAAATAAGAAATGGGGAATTGGCCACTTTTACAATTCATCATGCTAGCCAATTGTTGTTGAAAATCTATATTATCCTCTAATGCAATAAGCATACTCTTGCTGAAACTAATTTGAAGGCTAGAAGCTAACTCAAGACCATATAAAATCAGTTTCAAAACTGTCAAATGTTCTATTTTATTTTTATAAAAGATCAATGTATCGCTGGCATATTGCAAGCAAATTATCTTTTGTGGCATAGCATCAGGTCCAAGTCCTTGCAGAAGTTTAGCCTCAACAGCAAGGGATAACATTTATTGTTTTGGAAAATAAGTTGATATGATTTCCTGTGCTGCAGCAACACCTTCAAGCAATTGTCTCCCTTGAATAAAACCTGTTTGAACAGGATCTATCGAAACATTTAGCTTCATATTCAATCTGTTAGTCAACACTTTTGTGATGATCTTATATATCACATTGAGAAGGCTAATGGGTCTATGGTCATTCACAGACGTAGCCTCAGATTTCTTTGGTATAAGAATGATATGGGCATAATTAAGACTTTGAATATCTAACTTTCCTTCAAAGAATTCATCAAAAATTCTTTTCACATCCATCTTCACTACTTCCCAAAAAAATGGGGAAAAAAAGTGTAGAAAACCCATCTCGGCTGCGTGATTTGTCACTACGCATGTCAAAAACAGCATCTTTGATTTCCTCTAAAAAGGAAGGTTCTTCAAGATCAGTTGCCCCCCAATTGGTCCTTGAGGAAATATGGGGGCATTTATTGAAGAATTAAGAAATTGTGCAAGTTTGGCAAGCTTTTCCTTTGTGGTTGTACTTTCGGAAAAGCAAGGTCTTGCCTTTCTCGGAATTAGGTTCCAATGGCATTCTTATTGACATTAATCATATTAAACTACAAAAGAAAAAATCTATGTTTGTTTGGTCTTATTGTTCTTTTTTCTGTATTTCTGTGGCATATTTTGTGCATAACGATTGTAGCCTTGCTCAACACCATATGAAAACAATTGCATCCTAAGGAATAGCAATAGCATATGAAAACATTGAAAAGTTGCAACCTTTACGATTTTTTATATATCTGAGTACTGCAGATCGCATATCTTGGCAAAGCATCCTTAATTTTTCTAATATTCAATCCCTAAAGCATGTTCCTTTACAACCTAGCTTCCCATGTTTTTTCCTGAAGCATATCCTTGTCTTCTCACGGATTTAGGTGCATTCTCAAAATATATTGACTAAAGCTATCTGGTTTTACACTAAATAAAAACATTGTGGCTGTCCTTTTATCTAAAATAACTATAATAGAGTTGAATGATGAGATATATGTGAACCCTCAAATAGTTGAATATACATTCGATGTTGGTCTGTTGGGATAACACAAATTGATTTGTATGATCTGAGATAGAATTAATTGCCTCGATGTTTCCTTATTCTGATAAGATACTATTTTGTCCTTTCATAAGCTTTATATGACAGTTTATATGGTTGTCGAAATGGTACCAATGTATTTTCTATAAATGCAGGATGTCCAACTACAATGAAGACCTATCACAAATGAATGTGTCTGTAGAGGTATTGCAGTTCAATCACTCCCATTTTCTAGACACAATTTATCCTATGTTTAATGAATAGTGAAAATCATTAAATGCTCCTTGCTACAGGAAAAGGACAAATTAGTAGGAGAAGTAATTCGATATGTCTTATTCAAGAGTCATCAAACCTCTGGTTGTCCTATAAAGAGGGAGGAACTGACTCAAATAATAACTAAGAACTATTCTCAGCGATCCCTCCCAGCTCTGGTGATAAATGAGGCCAGAGAAAAGTTCTCTCATATTTTCGGGTATGAGATGAAAGAGCTCCTGCGCTCTCGACCTACCTCAAACAAGCAGGGCCGCATGTCTCAGCAGAGTAAGATTCCAATTTAACCTCAGGCTGTTCTTTATTTTTATTGTTTTTTTCTTGGACGATCTCCTACTGCTCTTTATCCTGATCTTGTTTTGATGATGCAAATGAATTTAGGTTATCAAATATGATCGCCCACGTAATCAATGCATTTTTGTTTTCTTTATGACTGAAATAGTATTACAATTATAAAATACTAAAGGTGTGTCCTAATACAAACTCTGGTATTGACTCTTAATCCTTCAAAATGAATTTTATAGTGATCCGTATTATTAAACACCCAAGGAAAATTTTGATCGTAAAAGGAATCCTGACAATTTTCATCAGTGCTGACTTGCCATTCAGGATGGCCACCATACGATGATGATGATCTCTTCTTTTCTTTTCTTTTCTTTTCCCCCCTTTTTCTTGTATGAGGAGAATTGATGAGAATCACATTGTGCGAAGTGTTTTAACTCTTTTGAGACATGTGGCATGTATATTTTTCAGCATTTCTGTTCAAATAGTTGATGAATATTTGAAGCAACAAACTGTGTTCTGATGACACAGACATATATTTCATTCAGGTGGTGCAGAATTAAAATCATATGTTCTTGTGAGCCAGCTACCATCTAATATTTTTAGCAAGTATGTTGAGAACAAAGAGACATCACATGTATCTGGTTTCACCTTTGTTGTGATTGGCATTGTGCATCTGGCTGGTGGTAAAATCTCTGAAGGTATCTCTCTTTTTTTGCACTTTTCTGATCCAACTGTTTGCAACTAAGTTTTGCTAACTTTTAAGGATTGTAGAAAATCTCTGGCATCAGTTAAAGCGAATGGGAGTAAATGACAGTGATGAAGACCATCCGTTCTTTGGAAGCACTAAGCAAACATTGGAGGTACTTGTGCAGCAAAGGTAAGGATGTCTCTTACTGCATCTTGTAGTTCATTCTGTTCTTTAAATCAATTTTTCTTTCAGATATTTACAGAAGGAGAAAGTTAGTGGCCCAGATGGCAATAGTGTGATGTTTGAGCTTGCTGAACGAGCATTAGATGAGTCCATCAGCAATAAGTTGAAGGATTACATAGCTCAGGTATATCATTAAGACTGATATCTCGGTTATCCTCAATAGTTGGCAACCAGTTAACATTGTCTATTGTTGCAATTTGTAAGTGATAATGGGAGAATGCAGAAAATGTTAAAAGATTCATCCATGGGACAGAAGTTACTTATTTGATGTTACATGCTAGATACATCTATTAGAATGCCTGAGTTACATGAAACAGAAGTTATAACTTATAAAAGATTTAATTTTAGCATATGGCAGAACTAAGTTCTGCAAAGCGAATGGGAGTAAATGTTATCAAATAGCAAATATGATTAAGTTCAAGAATGGGAGTATATATATGCCACCCACCCACCCAAAAAAAGGAAAAAAAGAAATAAAGAAAAAAAACGGAAAAAACAAATAAATAGATAACTGTTTCGTTGTATTTATTGGCATGACACACAAGTGTTGTATTCTGATATGAATGCAAAGTATTGGACATGGTAATTGCCTAAACCAGGGCACGAGAGTTAAGAGTTGTGTATATAAATACATCTCTCTGTCTATTTCTTCTGGTTAATTGTATATTTGACTCGTGAATATTATATACTGGGTTGTTAAATATATGAAAGAATCTAACTTTAATAAAATAGTTAATGCAACAATCCTGTTGGACATAGATGAGCGCTTGTTTATCTTAAGGTGTGTTGAAGCACACTAATTTGGGTTTGGGGAAGCTTTCTTACATATCGTAGGAAAAAAATGACCATATTACGTGTCAGTGGACATTTATATGATGTATTGATATGCTGAGAATCGAGAACATCTTTGAATGTACCAGTATTCGGAAAGGTTACAAATCAACATTTGTACAATGTAAAGTTCAGTTATCTTACGCTACTATCATTCTAATCAGTCCTGCTATGATGATGATTGTGGTGATGTCAAGGTTTAACTATCAGATCTAAAACCTAGGTTGTGGATAGAAGCAGGCTTACAAAATCGGTATAGATTAAGGAGAAAGTATGAGACGGGAGATTACTATGCTTGTATAAGTACATTTACATCAATTTCATAATTACTATTTCATGCTGATTATGCTTGTTGCTGCTCTCATTATTAGCCTTCTGGTCTTACATTTTCATTCTTAGAAACGAGAGGTTATGCTCCTAATAATGCTATATGCTGTGTTACTTTTGATCCTATCATCTTCCTAAAAAAAAAAACTATTGCGATGTCAGATTGTGAACAAGGACACTGCTGCACAAGCCGATTGATGTTTACCATGGACAAAGGGACAGAGCCTATCACTTGGCATTGGCGACTGCAAAACATTCTGAAATCTAACCCAGATACGATCCAATCAGTACCATTTAAAGTTAACTTTAGTTGTATGTATATGATACGGTAACTCTTGCCTCCTTTTTGTTATTCCAGATAGTTTTATTTGATGGCTGAAAAGAGTAGATCGTGAAACTTAACCGTAGAGTTTTCTGCGGAAATTGACTTGGTTATGATGTCTATTATTCTGATAATATCACGTGTGCAGTTTTCGCATTTCAACTTTAAAAAAATGCTGTTTTAGTTGAGTTCTTTCAGCATCTGAACTAGGGAAAGGATTCACAAGCAAATCATGAATACATTGTACACCCACGTTCATGAATATATAATTCTTACGGCCGCAAGCGTGCAAGCAGAACATATTTGAGCTGGTTCTCCCAATCACGAATATGATAGATTAATAATGTTATCATATTGAAATAACCAGCACCATAATCATCCTTCACAACTTAAATTAGAAGCCGCACTTCAGCATAAATCCCAAGGCTTATAAACCGAACAAGCTACTTAGCGATCGCATTGCGTGGGATTCATAAACAAAACCAAGTAGAAACCTGATTGAGACATCCGTGGATGATCATAGACACGGAACGCATGAAGACAGCTATCTGCGAACATCCATTGATAATCATAGACCGCGTCAAGACAGTGATCCGCGAGCTTACGATGCATATATCTCTATATGTATATGAAGAAGCAAGTGCCTTCAAGTTTACAAAGGGCTCCACAATGGCGAAGGGTAAACAGATGGCTAACTTGTTGGAAAAACATAATACACGGTACAATACAACAACGCGATAATTTTCCAAGAGAACTGAGCGTACGTAAAAAAACGTCACATACATCTCCAGACGTTTGGCCATCCGATTATTCCAACTATCTTTTCATCCAATCCCCTCCCTGGATACTTACGACTCGCTTTCTATGGAGGGCAATTGATTTAAATTAATAAATACCAGAACAATACAACAACAGCTTACAAAGAGGAGCTTACTGAAAGGGTAAGCAATAGTTGAAATACTAAAATCATCTCCTCTCCTAAATGAGTCTGCAGCAAAATAATTATGGCCACTAACCCATCACAAGTTTAACAAACTTTTTTTTCTTCTCTCTATACAGACAACTGTTACAAAACAAGGCAACAGGTAGTTACGGGAGTAAATATTTAACCCTTAAATTGCTGATTGTGCTCTTGAAGTGCTCGGTTCGCCAATCGATACTGTTGCCAACGACTTCGACGCCCATGCCTTTGCATTCATTGCCCCTTCTTGAAGATTGCTCCTCTTACATGGATTGAGCCTGTTTAGCCCCTGCCTGGCTTCGTGAAGATTTGCTTGGAAATGATCCCAGAAGCTCAAAAAGCTGGCATATTGCATTTGCCTCCTCCAAGCCCTTTCAACGCACGCATTGAGCTTTGGAATAAAGAGATGAAGTAACCTTAGTAGCACAAAGAAGCTGGCCAGTGCCAGATAGGTATCTTGTTGAAGCAACTTCTCAGGTGATCTTGCCCATGAGAATGGGCAGTTCTCCTGATCTGTGGTTGTTCTGATTTCAGGGAGGTTTAGCGAATTTGATGCTTTCTCCATGGATGATGACTCTACCGAAGCAGGTTTAGTGCCTACAAATATATCATAATATTAAAAGTGCTGATGGAATTTTTTTTAAAAAAAAATCATATTAATAGAAGAGCTAGAAGGTAGCAGGACGAGGGAAACGGTCAAACAGTGGCTGTCAGTCACCTTGATTCCTATACGGTATTTCCCTAAATTAAAGAATAAATAAAGGAAAGGAGAAGAGATTGATCATCAATTCTCTCTGAGTGAAGTTCTCTGAATGCTCAATTGTATGTCGTCAACTCGATCAGACAGCCAGCAGCTACATTTCATGTGATATAGATAGGTTTAGAAAATTATATTCTTCAAAGACAAGAGAGAGCGCGCATGGAAAGAGCACTATGATGTTATCATCCAATAGGATGTTATCATCTTCAGAGTCCCATTGTTATCCAATCAACCCAAAAAAGGGGTGTCTATGTAGTTGAGAAAGTTCCAAAAAGAAGACAAAGGAGGAGAAACAAGTGGAATCCAAATTTATCCTCCAGCTGCTCTCAGATTCTGATCTGTGAGTGTCCAGGAGTCCAGGAATTCTTTCCTAAAATCTCGTCCGACTGTCCAAGGACAGTTTTGAGGAAATAAATTCTCTGATATCTGCATTATTTGCATATTCTATGAGTTCTTTCTAAATTCCCAATTAAGGTAGCTACTGGTAAACAAAGGGCTCCCAGTAAAAAATCTAGTTCCAGTAACAAGAAGAACCCAACAACATAACTTTTTTGGGATTACCCGAATCCTTCTATTCTATTTGATCATGTTTTTCTTCAATCCAATTTTGCTGAGGAACATATCCTCTGTTAAAATAACCACTAACATATCCTTCTTAATTGCTTATCCCTAGAAACCCATCAATTTGATTCCACCAAACACAATACAACATGCAAATTCCCAGTACACGCCAAGCTTTATGTCCTAACCCTATCAGGCTATCACATCTCTGTCGCTTCCCACAAGTCCAATCCAAGAAGCATCGCTGTTAGCTAGGTTCTGAATTACTTCATCGCGAAAGAAAACAGAGGATTGTCATTAGTCTGTGCTATTTTATAGTCACAATAAAAACAAAATGTCAGTACACCTATTGACGCAAACATTTTCTTCACTGTTCAAACCTTCTCATCTTCAATCTAAGGCAACTTTTAACTTTCAAAGGTGCAAACCCAATATCAAGCCTTCTTTCCTGGACAAGTTGCTAAACGAACAACTACTAGGACATGAGACTAGCTAACCCTGGATGGGCGGTTGGTAGGTAAACGGATCCACTCAAATCACACGATTATAAGCTCATAAAACAAAAAATCCAGATGATGGGCGAAGACATCAAGCTCTAGTACAAAGAACTGCAGTTATCTCAAAGGCATAAGATAATCCACAGAGACAAATAGAAATATCTCATAATGGTCAATGTCAGAATTAAAAAAATCACATGAATATTGCCTACAAAATCGCCAGGAGTGGCAATTTGTGATCTGACCTGTGATTCTGTGAATGTGATCCAATCAACCTGTGAAAATGTGTATTTGAGCAGACAGTATTTGAGCAGACATATATTTGCTTCACAATGTGGGATAGGCATCAATTATTGTAACCAGTCTTTTAACCCAATTTTCCACTTTGACCTGTCGAACTATGTGAAAAACTTTATATGGTGGTTGTTCATTATCTATTGTTATCCTAAGTTATGACTTCTTCTAGGACTCACAGAGCTGATGATTCATTATCTTAAAATTATGTTTTTTAAATACTAGAATTAAGAATAGAAGTACCTGAAGCGGTTAGCAAGGTACAAAAAGATAAAAGCCAACAAGTAGCTCAAGTGACATTGTTGTTGTATTACAATTTAAGTGTAAAGTTATGATGTCCGTACTATGTTTGGAAGTTTACTGGTTGAAATGTGGTGGCATGTTATTTGTTTAACAACCTGCAGCAAGCAAATATGTGCAATGTCGGTTTCTGGCAATCTACATGTCCATAATTCATAAGGAGTCTCAAGACAACCCCGGTAAAAATGAGGCTTAGCACGTGCACTGTTGTCTTTAAAGCTTACCCAACAATCATGGCAGGCAGAATGGTGGGACAAGTGGGCAAATTGTCTTTGCGGGACAAGCGGCCAAGTAAGCAACAGTGACAATAAGAACGGCGGAACATTTAATTGAAACACAGATGTGGGAATGATCCCTGCTATAGAATAGGTGTGCAGACGAGCATTTGAAATCTTCTACCATTTTAAGCAAAAAACACATGAATTTTTATGTAAGTGATCGATGTGTCATACCTGTGACATCACTATAGAAAGCAACAAGAGAACTGATGGTTCGTGAGCCATGATAACGCACCCGCATGGTAGAATTTAGGAGAAAGAGGGTTGGGAAACCATGAACACCATACCGTGAAAGGATGCTACAATTTGTAAATAATAATCAGTGTTAGATTCATCAGACATGCTACTGGTTTATATTCTATACTTCTATAGTAAAATAACAACTTTGATCATCCATACCTTGGCCTGACAACTGATTCTTCGAATGCAAAATGACGGATGGTAGGAAACATGGAAGACATGACGTTAAAGTTCGGTCGGCAAATTTTCGAGAAAGGGCACCAAGAGGCATGAAAGAGCACGGCTACATATTGTTCCCTGTTTTTGTACACAAGATTCAATGCTCTCTGCAGTGCAGCTTCATCCCCCTTGAAAAAGTAACAAAAAAATACAGACAGAAGTATATCAAAATTTGCAAGCATGGTAAACTGAAAGGCTGTAGCTTCCAAATTCCCCAAAACCCATGAGCACAAAACAAGAATATTTAAAAAATAAAAAAATTGGTAGTCGCTATATGTGCAACTTTGTCACTGCAAACCAATCAAGTACATAGATCTCATGTTTCTATCTCACAGAAGTCATCAATCAGCAGTGGGACAAGTCCTCATAAACCCAAGTTTCCAATACCCCTCTTGAATTTGGCAAAAAGCTTTTTTTTCAGCTAAAAAGTCTTGAGGGTGACATTCTAAGCATGATAAAGAAATGGTAGCTCCATCATGTCACACTGTCTGAGTTCTGAGATATTATAGTGGATTCACAGAGAAAATCATAAATCAAATAAATTATAACTTATGCAAAAGAATGAACAGTCACTATCACCTGCTATTAACCTATTAGGTGCAAGGACCATTATATTTCAAACTCCTGGTGTGCAATGACTAAGGGCCTTCACTAGTAGAGGACATTAACTCCCCTCTAGAAGAAAGCAGCCATACAAAGATTTTTCAACATTGACAATTTCACATATTAAAGACAGATGTTCTTCCATATTTCTTATGACATTCCTCCAAGTTTCTTACTGGAGTATACGGTTCTCCCCTAATATAAGTCCTAAATTGATCCCAAGAAGAGGATCAAATATTAGCAATTGATCTTCTACACCATTAAATTCAACAAAAAATCAAGTCTCCAATGGAATAACGTTCTTATTGAACTTGGACAACAAAAAAAATCTTTGTAACAACAGTAAAGAATATGACTATGTTCCGTAACATTTTCAGCACAATATAAAATAAGGCACCTTCAGTATCTTGTAACATATATATTCAAGAGCCAATTTTTCGATCTGAAATATTTTAACAAAAGCATAGATAATATGCAATATCAGTACTGTCTTCTTAAATTCCTAAGAGAGAAAAGTTATATCTGATCATACCAAGCAACAGTGATGGAACCAGGAATTTCGAGAAGGGGGTCCAAAAAAGTATTAATTAAATGCAATAAGATATATTTTTTTGCACAATTGCTTAGTATCTAAACATTATTCCATAATAAGACTTCAAAATTAATTTCAAATTAGAATATAAAGTTTATAGTGTTTATGATAACATTCTTTTTATTTTCATTTCTTGAAACCTCTATTATAACATGAGTTACGTACTTTGCTAGTACGAGTAGGCAAGAAAATGTCGGTGAATATATATGCTCTTCAAATATTTTCTAATTGCTTAGAATCCTTAGCAACTAAATAAATTCTAGGTCTTAATTCAAGATCTGTTGCAAGTTCCTGCTCATCTAGGTTATTCACCATTTGCGAAGGTAGCGGTAGCGGTGTTGACAACCCGGTGACACCCTTTTTCTTTTAAGAAATATAGCTCTATGATTGAACTGTCGTCTTCGGTGGTACAAGATACTTGGTTTCTTTTTAAAAAATCATTCCCTGACTGAAAATGAACAAATGAACAAACAAACAAACACGCACAATAAATAGAACTCGAAACAAGTTAACGACTAAACTTGTTTGACGTAAGAATGATTTCAGATGCTTGATGACTAAACTAGTTTATGGTAAAGGAACAATAGAAAATACTTTTGTTCATGGAAACTTGGGCACTCATTAGTCTTTCAAACTTTCAAGTTTATGCTGTTGGTTGATTATGACCTCCAACAAGATGCTTGATTATAATCGGTCTTTAAATAAACATAGTACTCTTTGTCCTCTACTCTTCAGGCATTTGTTGGTTAAGCTAAAGTAACAGTACATATCAAACTCTCTGCTTTTTTGGGGGGTTGGGGGGGGGGGGGGGGG